TATTAATACACAGTATTAAATTTTCTCTATGATTAAATCAAGCATTATAACATTATAATATACAACTTAGAAACACCTTACCTCAACCAAAAATGCCTTAATTTCAGCTTCGCTTTCTATCATCTTGACGGCTACATCCTTGTTCCTCCACCTGGCTTTGCTGACAACGCCAAATGCACCTCTCCCAACAATCTAGATTGATTAACCAGAAAAATTGACACTTTATATTGAATCAGTCTTTATTCAATAAAAGAATCTACAGTAACTAACACAATGCAAAAAGACTAACAAGCTTTAGAAACCAGGTTCAAACCAACCAGACAAGATCAATGTTTCATTTTCAAACTATGTTACAAACTGAATTGCACAGAAATTGCTTTAAAGCACAATCATATTTCTTCCTTGTTTAAAAGAATGTATCTTATAGTTGGCAGGGCTAGAAAAGTGTGCTAACTCATAATCGGCTGACAGTCATTGCGCATTATTGTAACCCGGAGACATTTTTATTTACCATCAACCATTGTTGGGCTATTTTATTGTTACTCAATGCATTATGCATTTCATTCTATTCTATTCAGGGGACTACCAGAATTTTTGCTAAAAAGGGTTTTTTCTTAATTTTTTGCTTGCTTCATACCACTACAGATGAGCTATGTGTAGTGTACACATTACATTTGGTCAGGACTGGAAAAAGTGCAAGCCCATGCGACAAGCGATCGGAGGCATCATGAATGTACTGGAAACCTGGATAGTGTAGCATACAGATAACATTTGGTGCTGTAGGCATTTTATAAAAACAACTTTTATGATCAGAGTCACAAACATTTTTTCCCCAGGTCTGCATTTTGTGCTGGAGGCATTTTGTCACTTATAATTTACATGGTTGGTGGCATACATTTTGTTTTCAGCCTGCCTGTGAATTCCACACATGTCAAGCATACAGAAGCATGGGTGGAAGAGGATTGTTGCAGCGAGAATCATCAAATCAGCCAAAACAAAAAGGACAAGTGTACACACACAAGATCTGTTTCAGTATCAACTTTTAGATGTTAGAGATTTGAGGGATAAAATTGATGTGGGAGGACTTTAGGCTCTTAATTTGTCAACTTAGTTGTTTAGGGAAAAAATGAGTGGGACACAAGATCTGTTTCAGTATCAACTTTTAGATGTTAGAGATTTGAGGGATAAAATTGATGTGGGAGGACTTTAGGCTCTTAATTTGCCAACTTAGTTGTTTAGAAAAAAAAATTAGCGGATGTCATTCAGACTTTTCAGATTAAGATCATTCACGGTATCGATCTTTTGGAACATGAGCATTTGTTTACAAGATCGGAATATTCGAAAACTAGAGGCTATTCATACAAGCTGTACAAAGTATATAAAACAATTGTTAGAAAAAAGGTATTGCAGTTACAGTTACCGATGATTGGAACTCCCTTCCTTGTCATGAGTTGTGTCAGAGATCGGTAAACTGCTTCAAAGCGGGCTTTAGAGAAAGTCTGGTCTGACCACCATTTAAAGTTCAGCCCATATATATTAGCGGATTCGTTAATGATCGAAAGACAAATGAGCATAGATCTCTAGGCCATGTTTAAACAGCATGTACAATTTCTCCAATAATTTCTCCGATAAATTATCATAAAATTCCCTCAAAATATTTTATTCCATCATGCAAAATTATGGACAATAATGCAATGTGTTCAACATCAAAATATCTGCTTTGTTGACCTAGCAGGTGATCTTTTTTTGCACGAGATGGATAAAGTAGGCCTAAGCCAAGAATGAAATCGCTTGGTAGTATTTCTTTGCCGTGATTTGACATTGGTCATAGATTATTTACATTTTTCTGAAACCAGTTTACAGTATTTTGATAGTTTATATTCATCCACAAGTGGGTGTAATATTTAGTTTATTTGTAAACAGAAACCTAGTTTTGACCAAAATAAAAAATGTAGAGTTAATGGAAATTCCCCAATTCTATCTGTTTGTGTGGTGCAGGCTGACATCATGCATGTCTGGTTTTCCTACAATAATATATCGTGTACATAGTCACAATTTTATGTTTTGTTTTGTTCATTGAATCCAAGTTTATATTACTCTGAAACCAATTTAACTGTGTTAATTGATATACTTGGTATTATGTTAACTTGAGCACCAAAATCTTGCATTTGAGTCTCTTTGACCATTATGTCTCTATTGAGTATAAACTATAATAATGGTAAGTAGTTACTTGTAATTATTTAATTAAATTATTACCTAATTAATAAATGATCAAAATTTAATGAGTTTCACAATTTTTTTTTGTCCTTGTATACTTGCAAATGCTTTTATTTTATTGAAATATGTCTAAAACCGAAGAAGTTAAAGCAGTTTTTGATCACTTTTCGAGAAAAAGGTGAATACTTTTCTATTGTTTACATTAGTTTTGAAGTACCAGAATTACGCATAATTATTAAATTACACAAATCAATGGTATCGAAAAAGAATGAGAAATTTGCATGGTTGCGGGGCCGCTTGTGCTTGGCGCCAGGAGTCAACTGTTCTATTATTTTTCGAGGGGTGTTTCTCGAGGGAGAAAGAATAGGCAATTAGTCGGTTTATCCAGGTAAGTATTCACGAAGTAGACTCTGTAACTTTGTTGATATTTGATGGAGGACAATGATCTTGGTATCAATGTAATGCTACATTAATGCTTTTTCAAATGGTACTAGCTGCAAAGGAATTCCTTACATTTGAGTTTTTTTGTCCCATTTACTTTAGGCCCTTAGTTGCACTAAAATCAAACGAGGTCAACAGATTTCTTCACATCAATTATATGATTATCAATAACAATATTTGTGTGAAGTTAGAAATAATGCATTTTAGAAGTGACATGCAAAACTCCAATTGGATCCAGAGGCGACGGAACTAGGGGGTGCTGCATTATGGAGAGTAATGTGCAACCGGAAATGGTCTGCAGTCAGTTGGTTGTTACCATGCGCCAGTGATTTTAATATAGCAACATGAAACTATTTATGTAATGCATGAATAAAGTTTGGGGTTTGTCGGGTAGTGAAATGTTTATTGTACATTTTAAGTGCTCCAGTTGCTCCATGCATAAGCGTAAGCTAAATTATGGTGATTAATTAGCGAAGATATGGAGATAATTATTTCTAAGTTCCCCCTTTCCAAGAGGGGATGCAAATGCTTTGTGAAAATTAGTATGCCACGGTACTCATTTTCAGCTGGTTAGCTAACAATATGCAAATGTTACATGAACACCTGGGAAGGAAGGTTGCCTAGCATATGTCTGTACTGTAGCGTGGGAGGGGTGGGGGAATGGTAAACATAAGTTGGTTAGAAGGATGGCACATCACGTTCTGTTGCCTAGCCTACTGATGTACTGTGTAGCGGGGGAGAGTGAGGCTATTTATTAGTAAGACTAGGCCTAAGTAGACAGTGCAATTATATTTGATAGAAAGTACACTTTCGAAAGAAATAAATTAAAATAAGAAAAAAAAAATTAACTAAGAATAATTCAGTTGCAGACGTACCTTGTTTAAGTATTATACAATGCTAACAATGCGGCTCTTGTAGCCCTAGCTAAGCAAGGCATCCATGTGCAAAGCAGTGGTGTTTATCCATGAAAAAGCATGCTGGGAAAGTTTGCTTTACCAGGAAAAGTAACGTAATCTTATGACGTATGCATGTTAACTATATTTACTAAATAATTAGTATTATTATGTACCAAAAAATAAAAGTTTTCTATAACAAAAATATTAATAACTACAAGGTTTGTGGGCGTAAATTCCATAATACGAATTACGGGTAGCACCATCTCCTTGCCATACAAATTACATTCTCCCACTGACGTCTCAGTCAAGAAATGCGGGTAGCTGAAGTTTTTCTCGGAAATCTGACTACAAAACCAAATCCAAATTTCACATTCCACTTCTGACTTTGAGTTGGGATTCGCACACGCCGCTGAGGAGGGCAGCGTTCTGGGAACCCTGCGTCAAGTGCAACCCATCCATTCAGCTAAGGCCAAATACTTTCTCCAATCTTCTGTAGGCCTATATGCTGACTGAACTCTAGTAGGAAGAAGGTTGAAAGAAGATATTGGGCCTGAACTGCAAAACCCATCAATCTTCAATCTTGTACAACTTAACTAGGCATACCTAGGCCATACCTGAATAGGTCTAGGCCTAGCCTAGCCTCTCTAGAGATAGGCCTTGTCTACTTTTGTATCTACCTAGACTACTCACTACCTCCTAGTCCTCTACTACTAGGCTAACTAGGCCTAGTAGTAGTAGAAACTAGCCTAGGCTAGCTGGAGGGTATACCACCACTAAAAAGGATCCCACCAATCATTTTGAAATTTGTAGAACAATGCCAGGCCTCCATTCTCTTCAGAGCAAGGCGGCATCGTTAAGCCTAGCCTAAAGAAGAGGCAGCCTAGGCCCAGGCCCCATTACCACACCACACAGCTCCCTGGCTTGCATGGCATGCCTGCGTGCGACTTCTTAGGCCTACCTTTTCGAACTTTAAATCATTATAGTCAATCTCTTCAGCAAAGCTCTCCTGTGTTTGTAAAGTTTTAGACATAATGACAATCCTTCTACAGCCTATGGTATTCGAAATGAATTCAGGAAGTTTACATCAACCATTTCGTTGTGATGATTATTATAGCTCCGGATGCGTTGCAAAACTTCGTCAGAAAATTTACCTAGGGAAGTTGATCATGTGGTTAATTTTATATCCTTGTGTTTTTTCCGCAAGAAAAGACGGATCGCGACGACCGCCCCTTCTTGTAGAACGCCACCTATAGTGCAACGAGTGGTCGTTGGTTGATGATGATGATGATGGGAAGGAATTCCTAGCTGACATGAAAACATTAGATATCAGTTTGTGTACGTTAGCAACCGGATTGGGCTGCTGATTTCTTGAAAATACGGTATACAGGTACAGTAGTTTTCTATGGATTACAATAAAGCAACATCAATAATTATGTGAAATGTTATACATTGTGATAATGTTTAATTTACTCCTAGGCCTACCTAGGTCTATAATAAATTTAGCCTAGGCCTAGCTAGGCTAAGGTTTAAGCCCTAGGCCTAGGCTTAGGCTAGGGCCTCGCCTAGGCCCTAGTTAGAATGAAAAGCCTGCGGTGGCTGGTAGACTCCTGTATGTATGGTTAAGGCTCTATAGCTTGCTAATCTAAGCCTTGAAGTCCTAGACCCTTAGACTAGGCTGGCCTTCTAACTAAAGGCTAGGACCTCAGATGCATAACACCCACATACAGGGATGTCACCAGCTTTTTGAAGTGCCGGTCGGCGATCATTCCGTGTTTTCCCGGGGGGGGGGGGGTCGGGGGGGGGGGTTTCGCCGTATTCGTGAAAGCTCTTAAAAACCAAAAGGCCTAAGTAAGTCGAGCAGGCCTAGGCCCAAGTCTAGCTGACGCGATTTTTTTTGGCTAGTCCCAGGTAGGCCTAGGGCCTGGGCCTAGACCAGGCCCGGGTAGGCCTAGGCCAGGCCCAGGTAGGCCTAGGCCAGAGTTTGAAGAATGCAACAAAACAGATGAAGATGAGACTTACTGTAGGCCTAATTAAATTCAATAGTTGACATGCTTTGTTTTAGATAAAAAAATAATAATGAACAAATCCCGGCAACAAAGCGTCGATCCGACTGTACCCAGCCGCATTGTTTGCCGTAATTTCACATGTTTGACGTCACTGATTCATGTGCACTCATTTATTTATTTTTTGTCCATTTACACACATTATATATCAATTATAATTAAAAGTGAAAAACTTAAAATACAAAATGAAAACAAAGTAAAGAAATAAAACATAAATCAGGTTTCGTAAATTTTTAATAATCTTCCTGCCCCGGACCATGATCTCATAATAAAACACTTGAATGGTCACGATTTCAACTTTAACCTTTGAATGTGTACGGAGCAACAGTGTCATGCCAGCCCACGATGTTCGCTATGACTCAACTGGGCCTAGGCCTAGGCTGTTACGTAACCACGGAAACATTTATTGTATTCTTATTGTCTTTTCTATCAATTTAGCTTGTCTATTGTGTTTAGGTAAACTAATTATTTTGTTACAATTTGTAAACTGTTGAAATAATAGTGGTGGTCGGG